CTTAACTAAAAAAGGAATGCACTAAATTAAATGCAAGGGTGGGATACTGCAGATAGATTGTAGGCACTGTTGGATCTAATCTATGAAGATACATTTATTTGTGCAAGTCCAAGCAAGGCAGGAAGGAAGAAAAAGAAGGAATGCTCAGATTTAGTATTTAGCTTCCACCAGAGCTTGCTGATTTGAGGCCAGCCCTGTGGCAGAAACCCTGGAGTATGCTGGTCATGGCTCACAGAAGCCTTTTCAACAGCTCAAATGGTGCAAGCACCACACCAGTCCCTATCTGCTATGCCAATGGGGGGACAACAGGCTGGATTAAAGGAAACAAAAGTGTCATCTGTATGGCTGCTACCAGCTGCTAAGAAGCTTGACAGCTTTTTTACCTTCGTGTCATCAGAACAACAGGACCTTAGAAAGTTACTGCTTTCTTATTGGGGCTGAAAGAGTACATCACATACCTCCCTCACACCAAGCACCAGAGCAGGATAGCAGCACATAATCTGCTGTGGTGTGGCCCAGCAACTATAGTTGCATTGTATACCACAGTTTAACAAAGCTGCTTTGATTTCTATGCGGTGCATCTCTGGACTGTCCTCTGCCTTCATGGAACCCTCTCCCCTTTAATTTGTTTAAATCCAAATGCATTCAGAAATATCTGTTGTCACTGTTAGCATTTCATTCCAGAAAATAACAGCAACACAAATTTTGTCTCTACTCTTCAGACATTTCTTCAGTAAGAAACAGATTCGTAATAATGTAAATCATATACATCAAGAAAGTGGAACACTTGCTTTTTCAGAATCATTTCTGTCCAAAGGAAACCCACTACATCTGCCAGCAGCACTGTTCCTCTTCATCCTCCTCTTCCCCTGGGCTCTTGAGCTGGAGTTCCTCCTAGACCATGATGTACAGCAGTGCTCCATCTACAAGCAGACACTCAACCAATTGTTTATACAGTCCAGCAGCCAACAGTTCTTTCCATCAGTTTTCAGATCCAGAAAGTATGTATCAGTTTGGCAGAGAGGAATGAGATTTTGCTTTTGCAGAGTGATTTTTTTTCCCCCTTAATATAATGGTGATGCATACCTTTTTTGTTTCCCTTCTAGATTCTATAAGCCTTTTCCTATGTATTAAAAATGGATGGATATATGCTAATGGGATTTGTGCTGACTTCATCAGAAAGGGTAGCAGTGTATTAATTTTCTTAAACCATGAGAACAGCCACAAAGAAACTTAGCCTTCCTAATCAGAGAAAGGGTGAAAGTGCCTTACTCATCAAAATTTAAAGTTTTTCCTCAAATAATGTAGATTCAGGTCTTACATGGCAGACTAGAAAAGAAATAAATTGTGGCTGACTAGAAAGAAATCCTTGGAGATACCCCTCCCCATGCTTCTCCCTTCCTTGTTGTTTACCTAGGTAAAACTGGTCTGGGAATCCTGCTTTTTCCCCCTCTCTCTTCAGTAAAACAGGCTATTTCCTGTATCTCTACTGAGAGATCCTTTCTGCCATTGTACAGTAACATGGAATTTGTTTATTCATTCTCTAAATCCATCTGGCAGTCACAAAACACCCAAAGCTTTTTTTTTTTTTTTTTTTTTTTTCCCCTCTCCCACTATTCAGTCTCGACATTCCTTTTTGTACAGAGGAAGCTTCCTTTTTGAGACCTGAATTAGCAGAGCACATAATCTGTTTTAGGTTTAAGCATGCAAATGATCCCATTGACTTGAGTCGCTGAGTCATCAATAGGACGACTCACACACTTGTGTTTAAGCTGTGACTGAGTAGTCTTGGTGAAAAGTGGTCAGATGAAACCCGCCCAACAGACACACCCACTGAGAACAAGGATTCAGAAAGTATTTATGACTATACAGAGATCTGAGGAAGATAATATCTAAGGTTTATTAAGTAGCTTAAAAGGAATGGGTGGTTCTGTTTAGTGCCAGGTCAGCATCCTTTGACTTTGTACAGAGGTGTGTAGATGCCCAAAGGAGTTTCTGGGCTTTTCTTCCCCAGGAGTGACATTGTTTGGACTTCAGAAATTATTAACTCTTAATTAGGTACATAGAAGAAGTCATCAGCTGAAGTTTTGGTTGAGAATGTACCAGGACTTTCATCATACAGATCTAGTTTTGCTCTCTGTGGATGGTCTGAAGTCTAGCCAGATCAGAAGGTTTTACTTTTCCGGCAGGATCAGGAGGAAATGAAAAAGATCCTCAGATAGCATCAGATGACAAGGCAAGACTCCTTGTGTTTGGATGTAGATTCTCTTAGTTGCTGCCTTGTATTTTGCAGAGCTGCTCTGTTCTCAGGGAGCATGACATGCCGCATTGTTTCTGCCCATGCTACAATGTGGCCTTTCGCAGTTCCTCTTTAAAAGACCTTTTGAAATGAGGGTTGGGGAATTTGAGCCAAGTTTATCACCCCTGTCAAGCGAGATGGTTTCTCTACCTACTCCAGAAAATCTAAGTCTGAATCTACAGGACTGAACTGGATTTTTTCCAGCATCCAAACTGACCACAGAGATTTCTAGTCAGCGCAAGGTGGGCGGCTGCGGCAGGCCAGCCCCCGGCCCGGCGGGTCAGTTGGAGCTGGCCGGAACCGGCCATGTCCGGCTCGGGGCAGCCCCGGCCTCTCCCCAGCGGCCGCCCCTGCAGGGTGCCTGGGCACCGACACCTGGTACAACGGGACAAACTGTCTGTGGGGAGAGAGAGGGTCTCATACAAGTTTTGGGAGGTGTATTTGAGCCAGCTGAATGGACAAGGAAAAGTGTGCATCCTCTCTATTACCTCCTAAATTACTTTTTTTTTAAAATCCAGCTGAGGCGATTCTGACCACCTCTCTGCCTCACTCAAGTCAATAAGCTTAAGTTTGTGTCTTTTGTCTTTCTCACCACCTATTAGATCACTCCTTTCACTGTGATTCACGGAAAAAAGACTCTACAACTCCAATAGAATTACACAGCAGGTCTGTTTACTCTGGCGTCGGGGTGCAAGGGGATTTCTCCACAAAGCTTTCACCCCCACCGCACATTTTACCAAAAACTTAAGAGTGTGAATATTTATATTCGTTGGATTACATAACACAAACATACAGATGCATGAGTAAGGCTGGGTTAGTTCAAAAGGCTGATGTTTTTGCACCTGGGCATTGCCTCCTGGTGGTCGTCTTCGGGGATCTTTGTGAGGAAGAGTCGTAGTCTTTCTCACCTTGTTTTTTTTCCCCGGAGCATGCACGGATTCCCTTGGCCAATTTCTTGAATAACAAGAGTGTTTTTCAGATGGTTTTTATCTAAGAGAACCAATAGAACTTCTACCATCCGTATATGGCTATCTTTACTCATTACCAAGACTCCAACTAGTTAGAGCACACCTGTTCCCCAAGGACAAAACCATAATATTTTGCTGAACATGATAGTTCTGGGCAGATTTTCACAGTGAACTGCTTTGTTTTGATGAACACAGTAGTCCTTGGTAAAGTTCCACAGAATAGTCTGGGCAAGCAGGATTCTTAGCAATATTAAAAAATACTATAAGTAATACTATAACTTGCTATAAGTAAGTTGCTAAGCAGTTTTCTATAAGTAAATAAGTAAATAAATCTCAAAACAAGTAATCATTTCTCTGTATCAACTGTTCCTCAGAGATGCATTTCTTCATGCCAGTGCTACAGGATGGAGCAGGGGAAGTGGAAATGTGTTTGCTCCATGGCTGGCCTTTCTTCTTGACACTTTCCTAGAGAGAAACCTTTGAAGTCATCAACAGAGCTAAAAATTATCCATGCATCAGATAAGGGATGAATGTGTTTGCTTTTATCTCATCCTTCCTCCTCTTTCCAGTGCTCTGATGTTTTACCGACATGAATAGCAGTGGCCAGATTCAGCAACACAGTCTGCAAGCCTGGATCCAAAGCCACCACTTGAAAATACATAGCATGACACTTTCTGCTTCAGATTTTGAGGCATGTGAGGTGGGAGGAAGGGAATACATGTTGCAAGAGGGCAAGTAAAACCTCACTGGAATTTACGTGTATTTGCCATGTGGCAAAGCTTTGTATGAGTTAATTTTAAATTACACGTGTCCATTGCCAGTGATCACTCCTCTGCTCTGTGACCTTCTGATGAAGAGTCATAATGACATTTTTGCAAAAGTGAGTAGTCTTTAGTAATTTGGCTCTTTTGTTTTCAGAACTGTTCAGACCTATGGGTTCTTTTTGTCTTTTATATCAAGAGAAACATAACAGGGGGAAAAAAAGGTATTTTAACTTCATCAGAAATCACTGGGATCTCTGAAAGGAAAATCCTATCTTTTACTAACTGACATTTCTGTATGTCTTTTTTACTAAATCACTACCCTGAAACACTGAAGGGTGTTGTTTCACACTCCCGCCTGTTGTGTTGTTCACTGTTTTGTGAAGACTTGGACGCTGAAAGGCAGTTTATTCGTATTTACTAATAATAGTCCTGTGAGGAGGGAGGACTCTGCAAGGGAGGAATGCAAGAGCAGAGAATGATCCTCATTAGGATGCTATGTGAAGGGTGTCAGCCTACTGAGATCCCAGCTGTGCTTCAAGCTCCACGCTTCTCATGAGAGTGTGTTGGGGTGTGTGTCTAGTGGCACTTCTGTGGAGAAGATGGAGGCAATAGTGTTTCTGTGTCTCAGAGGCCATTCTAGCCCCCATCCCTCTTCAGTTCATTTCCTGCTGATGACTTTAGTGCCAAAGCTTCTTTGAGAGAGAAAAGTCACACCCTGTAACCAGCTACTGTACAAACATGTCATCAGCATGACCACATTGTCCTTGCATTTGCACAGAAATGAAATGGGAAATCCCAGTACCCAAAATTAACAGCCTGGGTCTCCTCTGTGTGTATGTAATCCTGCTCTCCCATTAGCATATATCCATCCATTTTTAATACATAGGAAAAGGCTTATAGAATCTAGAAGGGAAACAAAAAAGGTATGCATCACCATTATATTAAGGGGGAAAAAAAATCACTCTGCAAAAGCAAAATCTCATTCCTCTCTGCCAAACTGATACATACTTTCTGGATCTGAAAACTGATGGAAAGAACTGTTGGCTGCTGGACTGTATAAACAATTGGTTGAGTGTCTGCTTGTAGATGGAGCACTGCTGTACATCATGGTCTAGGAGGAACTCCAGCTCAAGAGCCCAGGGGAAGAGGAGGATGAAGAGGAACAGTGCTGCTGGCAGATGTAGTGGGTTTCCTTTGGACAGAAATGATTCTGAAAAAGCAAGTGTTCCACTTTCTTGATGTATATGATTTACATTATTACGAATCTGTTTCTTACTGAAGAAATGTCTGAAGAGTAGAGACAAAATTTGTGTTGCTGTTATTTTCTGGAATGAAATGCTAACAGTGACAACAGATATTTCTGAATGCATTTGGATTTAAACAAATTAAAGGGGAGAGGGTTCCATGAAGGCAGAGGACAGTCCAGAGATGCACCGCATAGAAATCAAAGCAGCTTTGTTAAACTGTGGTATACAATGCAACTATAGTTGCTGGGCCACACCACAGCAGATTATGTGCTGCTATCCTGCTCTGGTGCTTGGTGTGAGGGAGGTATGTGATGTACTCTTTCAGCCCCAATAAGAAAGCAGTAACTTTCTAAGGTCCTGTTGTTCTGATGACACGAAGGTAAAAAAGCTGTCAAGCTTCTTAGCAGCTGGTAGCAGCCATACAGATGACACTTTTGTTTCCTTTAATCCAGCTTGTTGTCCCCCCATTGGCATAGCAGATAGGGACTGGTGTGGTGCTTGCACCATTTGAGCTGTTGAAAAGGCTTCTGTGAGCCATGACCAGCATACTCCAGGGTTTCTGCCACAGGGCTGGCCTCAAATCAGCAAGCTCTGGTGGAAGCTAAATACTAAATCTGAGCATTCCTTCTTTTTCTTCCTTCCTGCCTTGCTTGGACTTGCACAAATAAATGTATCTTCATAGATTAGATCCAACAGTGCCTACAATCTATCTGCAGTATCCCACCCTTGCATTTAATTTAGTGCATTCCTTTTTTAGTTAAGGTGAATATGAATAATCAACAGGTAAAGTGAGAATGCTAAATTTTCAGTAGGGTTGGAGACAATGTATTTTAAACTATCAGGTATGCTACCCATCTCTTTTTTGTTTATAGAATCCTAGAAAATTTCAGTTGAGGTGTACACAATTTTAGGATTATTTTTTTTTTTTACAGTGGAATTGTGGAATATATATGATAGTGATTTTCTTTATCATTCTTTATAGTGAAGTAGTCCACAGACCCACAGTGGGATGTAGACTTCAAGTTGAAAGTGATTGAACTAGACTTCACATGTTTCACAATAGAATTGTTCTTCCTACTTTTACTAAGCCAAGTGAACTTTTTTTTTTTTTTGTTAAATTGGTGTAAATACATCTTTATAACCCTAACTGTAAGCTGAAGGTGGTTTTAAGGCATATTCCAACTGTGGCAAAATTCTCACAGACTGATTGGGAACTTCAGGAGTGCAGTCAAGGGGCTTAAAAGTGCACCTGATGTGAATTAGTCTTTTCTCATTGTAAACCAGCTTATTGGAAAGCTACTTTTCTGTTTCCTTCTTGCTTGCATTTTAAACATGTGTGTTACTTGGAAGGCATCCTCTCTGTATTATCAGGTTGTCTCTTGGGCTGTTCTGTTTCTTGACTGTTGGAAGAATTTCTTGCCTAGGAAGAAAACTTGAGTAGATTAACAGTGGATAATGTAAAACTTACTTTTCTCTTCAGCAGGTTCTTGTTACAGCCTGTAAACAGAGGTGTTCCTGGAGCAATAAATTCACATCTTTCCTAGGGGAAAATATATTATGTTAATGAAAGATAATTTTCTTTAACCTCTATGCCCCACAATTGCATGTAATTCTAAAAAGACACAGTTCAGTCAGTGAAGTGAGTTGGTATAAAAGCAGGTAGCTCTACACTGCATGGAAACCTCAGCATTCAGACTTACTAAATATTATATTCTTAGCCAGTTCACTGTTCTTAACCTGTCCTGTATCTTGCAGAATGATCAGGAGAATCTCCTATAGATGAGCTGTGGTTTAAGAATATCAAAATGAAAATTCGGTGATGCAGGAGAATGAAACTCAAATGATGCGATGGAGGAGTTGCTTAGATACTACAGTGATGGCAGTGGCACAGGACCTTATATAGAAGTAGAAATGAAATAGAAATTGAAGTGGTTTTCCTGCAGTTGTTCTGCTACACAGAATTCCTACCAGTGTGAACATCATTTCTGCATACCACTCAGCAATGAGATAGCACCTTATAGTTTTAGAAACTTTATGATGGAAAATGAAAGAGAAATTAGAGTTGGCTTGTGTAAAATTGTCAAAGCTGGAGGGATCTGGGAAGATGCCTGGCAATTCATTGATTGAGTTGAATGTGGCTGAACAAATAAGGTCAATTAAATTTCAGAACAAGTTGACTGGGTTTGGTTTCTTGGTGTTTCTTTATCCAGTGCCAAAAACCGATGGGGGAAGTTGGTCCACCATCTTCAGCATTTTCTGCTCTTCATGGGTTGTTTGTTAGAGTCATCGCCTAACCGGTGTGTCTGGTCTTAGAGAAACAGCCTGAGTAATGGCAGGGCCCTCAGTTTCCTTATGTGAATGGTTGAACAGGCTGCAGCATTACAAAATGCATTTTTACTTTATATTCTTGTTACTTCTTTCACTTGTCATCTTCAGGCAGCTGCTCCTCGCTATGCGTTTCTGGGCCATGCAGAACAACCTCTTGCCATACTCAGTGGTTATTTGCTTTAAATAAAGGTCTGCTTTGCAGACCTAGATAGAGACAGGGAACTGAAAAGCAGCACTTAAGTCCTTGAATCTGGTCTTTTGTTAGCATACTCTCTCTTGGCTTCATTATTATCATCATTATTGAAGCCATTACCATTGTTAGAATTCTTCTGTAGCATGGTGGTACCTTGGTGCTTCAGCTCTGGGTGATGGAGCACCTGGTACCAGACACAGAACAAAGAAATCAGCCTGTCTTGAGTGGCAGACAGTCTGTGGTAATTCTTCTGTCTTTATCGTTCACATATCTTATGTGGACACGTCTTGAAATCTTACATTAAAGCATTTCTTATAGCAAAAATATTGTTATATTAGTAATTCTTAACATGTACCAAATAGATACTTTCCCCTCTATTTTTTAGCTTGTCTTTAGGAATTTCTGTTCTTTGTGTTTCACAGCTGTTAAGTGACATGTGTCCCACTCCACATGTCTTGATCTCCATTTCTTTGCATCTTACTTGGTTAGATTTGTCTTTGCAAAGAAGTTATAAAATGTTACTATTCTAACTTTTGCTGATGCCTGAAGGTTGTGAAGCATGTCAGATCACAAATAATCAAGCCCTGCTCCTTTTCAGTCCTGTCCATCAGATTAAATGCCTTATTCATTTGAAAATTTGAACATAATAATGACCCTGTATTTCTTTTCTTCATAAATGCAAATGAAAAAAATAAGGAGAATAGAAACAGGGCAATCAAGGAGAACCACAACAGATGCCATTCTGGTCTTTTGCCTGGTAACTGGAATCATGGTGACTACTGGTGTGATTCTTGCCATGACCTTTATGATTCTTCACTGGTAGGTGGATACCATACAATGTGATTTATGTTTCATTTGATCAAAATATGGCGTAACTGATGACAAACATGACCTGGAGTAAACTTCTTAAGTTTCTCTATAGTTTAATATTTGTGTTGCCAGTAGAGAAAACAGGAACAAGCTTCTGGAGATTGGAAAGAAATACTTTACAAAGCAGTTATGGTCATTGTGGATGGGAAGGAAATGAATCAGAGCAGTATATGTACACCTACTTAAAGGTATTTTTTTGTTTAATTCCTTTTTCCATTTCAGGGCTGTTGTAAAATCTATTTGTAAATCAAAATCTTGGCAAGACAACAAACACAAGAAGACCAACAAAAGATCACTATGTAACATGGAATAAAGAGCCCTCCTGGTCAGGGGCCGCACTGGCCTTTCAAGGATTTGGAGCCTCCACCTGCAGCTACAGTGTTCTCACCATCTGCATGGGCCATGATACAAGAAGTGTCAGAGCCCTCACTCACAGAGGATGAAGTACCTAAGTCCTTCTAGGATTTGCATAATGAACAGAATTAGAAAAAAAAAATAGACTACATAGAAACGTGATATAAAGAAGATAAAAATATGTTTGAAATACTGGCTTGAAGAAGTACTTTCTACAGTTCATTCACTGTCTTGGATTACTCGACTGGAAATGAAATGTGTGAAACCACTTCTATTTTAAGGTGGACATCATTCATCAGGTAATTTAATAGTCTGAGCACCTCTCAATTGGAGAACCAAAGCCAGATTTTTGTGAGGATGTTGAAAATGATGTATTCGTATGATATGTCTTAATTTTGTGAAGATGTTAATTTAGACTAGATGAAACTAGGTGTATAATCTAGGCAGAGACCATTTTTTGTAAAGTGGTCCTTATCTCCTTGATAATCTTCAAGCACAGCACCTACCATGTAATCAGCTTAATACATTTTCTTCTTGACACATGTAAGGATATGTCCACTGGTAGAAAAGATAATTGAAAGTTGCTTCATGAGTTTCATTAAATTTTTACCTGCACATTTGCACACATAACCATTTCTGCCTTCAAGGGAACCAAAATATGTGAACAAGAGAGTAGCCCCATAAGGTGAGACCAAGGATTCATCTACCTCTGTAATCAAATCAATGGACAAACAAAGGATGTCTAGGGAAGAGAAAAAAAACAAGACAAGGCTGTATGATGTCTTCCATGTGTATTCCTCCAGCTTCCAGGCATCTGCAGGTTTTCTAAACCAGATCCAATTTCTAAACAGCAGTCTTGAATGGCTTTCTTTTACATGGCTTTGTTAAGTGTGTGCTTGTACCTGTGTAAGCTTCTGTCACATAAAATGTCCAAGGGCAAGGGGATCCACAACGCAAGCACATCTTTTGTCCAGCTTGAACCCAGTTCCTGCTAACTTCATTTGTTGCACCTTACTTCTTGAAAAGGCAGTGAGCCATGTCAACCTACACTATCCTCTCCCTGGAAGGGACTGTCTTTTATACCTCTAATATCTTTTAGACTCTGGTTATTTTCTTTCTGTACTGAAAAGTGCAAAATTATTTAGTGATTGTTCATCCTGAAACCGTACTATACCTCTAACCATCCTTGCTGACCTTCTCTAACCTTCCTCCATTACATGACTATCTTGTTTATGAAAGTGCTTTCTGTTTGTGTAAATAAACATTGTTTGATGCAAATAAAAAAACCTGAGCTGATGACATGTTGAAAAATGGACTGTGGACTGATTAAAAAGTTTAATAGATTTTATGATTAAGATTTTCTCTTGAGTCTAGTAGAAGCTCTGAAAAGAGGCCAAATATTGAGCACCCCAGGGTAGAGAATGCTTCTCAGTACAGAACATTGTGAAAAAATGGCAAAAAAATAGATTGGAGGTAGTAACTCATCCTCTCAAAGAATTCCTGTTCTCTTCAGATCCTCTGTTGCTGCAGATGTTCTAACTGCACCATCTGCACATCCTTAAAAAAGCATTATCATATTTCTCAGAGATACATCATTTTGTTTGCTGTTTAGTGAAAAGATCATTTACATTTTTGCAAATAAAACATCATATTCAAAAATGACGTGCACTTAATTCTATAAAAATATCTCTTTTTTAAAATGGAAATGATATTTTTGGTAACACTATCATTAGCTATGTCATTTTATATCATTTGGCAGACAAACTTAGAAGTCTTGCAATGTTAAGGAGAAAATGCATAGAGAAGGAAAAAGCAGACAATAACAATTCTGCAGTTTTCAGAACTAGCTTACACATTCAAGGTGAGTTTTTGATCCTGTGAAATCAAAGGCAGCGTATTGTGGTGAGTCTGGGATTAGATCTGGAATGCTAGTCTTAAAAATAGACCAAACCCAGTTGTTATTGCTCAGGAAAATGTTTCCACTGAAAGTGTGGTAAATATGAAGCCCTGCCATCAGCTCTGCGATTGACTTTTGAACTCTTGCTTTCATGTTGTAATTAGGGAGTAGTATAACTGAAAGAAAGAGGGAACTAGAATATTCTTTTCCATAATGATGCAAAGGTGTATTCTTATACAACCATTTTGTGCTTTAATAACAGTTGCACAGAACCTCCAGTCATATTTGGGTTGATATTTTGAAGGTTTTAAATTTCCATGGTCTGCTGGCAAATCCAGCAAAAAGTAATAGACACATAAGCAGAGTAGTTCAGAAAATGAAATTCAGAAACAGCTGAACTAATCCATACTGGTGAGTGTGGGGGTCCCTAGGGTAGATCAAGGAGGTTTTGTTCTTTATTGACATACATTTTGTAAAATATGATTATCTTTTGGGGTTTTTTTGTTCTAACTCCTTAAAGCTATCTACAAAATGGGAAAAAAATTATTAGAAAATTTGATGCAAAAACTGGAATAGTGCCTTGCTGCTCAACAGATAGGGTAAACATGCTGTTCCGTTGAAGCTGCAATCAGAAATTCCAAGAAGTGAAGAAATTACTGAAGTTAAGATTACTCTGTCCAAGCAGCCATCACACAACCACTGTATTATCATTCTCTCATCCTAAATATAAACTTGAATGAATTGCTCTTTGTACTAGATGAAGCATAAAACACATGGGAAGTGCGAAATTATTATTTTAGCACAAGCCATAGCAACCTTCCCTGACTTTTGATCCCATAATCTGAATAATATACTTACTAGTTGGTAACAAGATGGACAGTCATGACAGGTAAAGGACATCCAGATATAAGTGTTGCAACTTAAGTATTTTTAAAGAGATAAAGAACATGTTACGATCTGCCTGAACGCTTCTGGTGAGAGTATTCACCGTCTAGGATATATAACTGTACTTGTTGTAACTCCTTTTATCTGCAGTGCCTGAGAAATGTAAAGAATGCTTTCATTGTTGCTTTCTGGTAGTGGGTTAATTAAGAGAACCAACAAGAGTTTCTCATTTTCCATAGATTTAAGTATAGTATATTTGTCTCCTGCTTTCTGACTGCAGTGGAAACAGTATTGTTACTGATCACCCCAAGGTGCAAAAGTATTCCTATTCTCAGACCGTAGGCACGTGCCCAACTCCTGTTTAAGTCAGTGGCATTTAAGCTCTTGCAGTGAGAATCTGCTGCATTTCTAAGGGGAGAAGCACATAAGAACTAGAAAAAGGGACAAAGGTCACATAGAAATACCTGTATGATCTCAGGAGTTTGTGCTGCTTACAAGAGCTTTTGGCCAATGCAGATTAGGCAGCTTCCCTAGTCCGCTCTGTGAAGTGTGATCTGTACTGAAATGCCAGCACTCTGGGAGCTTGTAGATTTGCCCTCATTCAGACGCCTTCCTACTCCCCACCATGGAGGGCTGTCAAGTTCAGTTCATCTGCCAGGAGACCTTTTCACACTCCTTTGCTGTACAGAGGACTTCTAGTATCTCCTGCCACTGTTCCAGCTGCTGAATCCAGGATACAGGGGCCAGAGTGAAGGTGAAAATCTCATCCTGCTTAAATTTAAGCTTATACTTATATTTTTACCTGAACCAAGATGTCCTTATATGTGTGCTTAAGTGCTCTCCTGAATCAGGGCCAAAATAACTGCACTTGCTTTCATTTGCTTTGTATTGTCTAATATTGCAGGATAATCCTGTGGGTTTTAATTTAATAGTATTTTAAACATTTCCCCACTATTCTTTCATCTTTCTTATTCTTCTTAAAGAATATCTTTTTGAAATGCATATCTTGTCTGTATATGATCTACCATCTGTCTCAGGAAATCTAGGATGCATTTATATAGTTATTTAAGTCTTGATGTATGTACAGTTTCATTTATGTATGGTCTAATAGTATATACCATAGAAATGAAATCTTTTCTTTGACAGCTTTACTGTCTCTTTTTGGAAAAGAAATTTTTATGGTGAATTGCAGACATTTTCATTATTTTTTTATAACTTCATTTAGTCACACACACTTAACAAAATAATAAGTACTCATGTTTTTTATTTCTTTGCTGCTATGCATGCAGGAGACTGCCATAGAAATATGGGTCATTTTTTAACCCAATGCTCTATAAAATAAAATAAAGAAATGCTAGTTGAAAACTGATTCAGTGCTCCATGATTGGTGGCAAAATTTCAGCATTGTGCAGCTATCACAGGGAGAAAATAAGAAAATAATTTGATTTATGATTTTATAAATTGGAAGGCTACAGCTAAATGTTAAGTCAAATGTACAGCATTTTGTATGGATTTTGGAAATAGAGCTCTGTGGTTTCCAGTTGTTTATCTGTAAAGTATAGGGATGGATTTTTCAGGAGCAGAACATTCAGCTTCTACTTCATTATGAGAATCTTGTTATATTAGGCCAATATAGTTCACTTACAATTTACTAAGGGTTTTTCACTTAGCTGTATAGAAAAACTTTTGACTTAGAACTGGGTCAGAGTACTCAAACTGGAAAATTCATTATGCTGAATTTTCAGGACAATGCTACTTTAACAGGAAATTGTGTTTGTGGGCTGTGAAAAGATAACTGGAAAAAAATCTTGCATGTCTGAAGCAATTAAACCCCAAATCTAGCATGGCTGGATAAGGATAATTGAATAATTGGTTATTTAGTATTACTTATCCTACACATGTTTTGCACTCTATCCTCATGTTCTTATAATCAGAAAGTTACTGGACAAAATGGGAATACTTGAGCCGATTAAATCTTCATTTTGGACTGTAAGCCCATTCCTAAATACATGGTTTTGTAGTATATGTGCCTGTGAAGTCTTACAACATGATGCCCCGATCCTTATTGAGGGTATCACATTATCAAACATAAGAATTAAATAATAGTATTAAGTTGTCATGCAGATGAAACAGTTACTGTTTTGGGATAACATTATGTTGTATTACACCTAGAATAA